GAATTTGGTGATATATCTGATAAACCGTTGGAGATGGTCTAAGGAGTCAAGGAGAGGATCCTAATTCATATATATATATATATATATGTTAGAAGAAAAAAAAATTGTTTCCATGTTTGAATGTGTATATATATACATATATCTGTTAAACAAATTTAGATATTAATTTAATTGGATCTTATTTTTTTTGCAAGAAATCAAATATATGTTTGCATGTGTTTATATATATGTATCTATTCACATATATGAGATTTGAAAAATCACTTGAACTGAGTATTGCTTTGTTTGAATTTGGGTATTGTTGTTTCTCAACAAGACACTTCAGGTGTTATGGGCGTTTCAATATTTATCTTTGATGGCATCAGTAATTTCTGTTAGTTGTGTCAACAGTAATAAAAAAATGAGAGAATCTTGATATTATCAGTTAAAATTGGTGAGGTTTTTGTAATTATTAAAATTACAAGAGAGATCCTTCATATTTATCAGCAATCTCAGGGGAAGTAAGTGTAATTTACTATAAATATTTTTATATCATTATTTTTTAATAGATTTGTTTAATGTACATTATTGTAAACTATAAGTTGATAATAAAAAAATAAAGACCAAAATCCTAACTTTCAAATAATTGGTTTTTCTCAATAAGCAATAAGCAAAAGAAACTACACCATCCATACTTTCAAATTAAGATAAACTATAAACAACTTATTTAATTCACAACAAACGCCTTCAATACTGGGCTATTTTTTGACATTTATTTTTTTATTTCAAAAATAAAACAAAATAAACTGAAAAAATTATAAAAATTCTCTGTCAACCCTTTGTGAAGTGGAGATGAAATCTACCAGAAACCCAGGCCTGAAGGGCACGTGGTGACCACGGGACTATCGTTCATTTTTGTATGGACACAAAAAAACACCAAAAACACTTCAAAACACAGAAAACAAACTGAAATTTGCTTTCAATTTCTTCTCTCTCTCTCTTCTTCACCACCACATCCATGGCTTCTCTTCTTGCCAACGGTATTTCAAGCTTCTCTCCTCACTCCCACACCGAAACCCCCAAAATCCCAAAACTTTTTTACACAAAGCTCGAATTTTTGAAATCTTCAAACCCTAAAATTCCTAATTTCAAACTCTTCAAGGTCAGAGCAGATGTTGGGTACGAACCCAAAACCCTTGATTCCGAGCTTCCTCCAATCCCAGGTACGCTTTCAAACGATGAAGACGCAATTCACAAATTCCTCAAACGCGATTACAAATGGGGGTTCAATGAAGAAATCAACTCCTTCACGATTCCGAAAGGGCTTTCGGAGGAGACTATTCGATTGATTTCGTCCCGAAAGAACGAACCCGATTGGATGCTTGAGTTTAGATTGAATTCTTTTGAGAAATTTCTTAGGATGACTGAACCCAAATGGTCAGACAATCGGTACCCTCCGATTGATTTGCAGGACATGTGTTATTATTCGGAACCGAAAAAGAAACCGACTTTGAATAGCCTCGATGAGGCTGATCCTGAGCTTATTAAGTACTTTGATAAATTGGGTCATACTATTTTAGTCCATCATGCTAGCATCTTTTGGTCATGCTTTGAACTAGAAATGTTCATGTTTTGGGACTGCCTTGGCTCTGTCTTTTTGCTTCATGGTCAAATAATGCATGCTTTGTATAGCTACAAGTCAATACATGTGCCTAGTTTTGAGTTTTGGGGCTTACTCCATGCATCGGGTGCCATGTTTGCATGATTCGGGACCATTTAGCATCATATTTCAGTGCTGAAATTTATATGTTTGAATGCCATGTTTCATCCTTGCCATGCTTTGGTAGAGTGGTATTTTATGCCTTAGGTTCGGTCATCGGTTTGCGTGCATGTATGCGTGCATTTCGGTCATCTCATTTTCATCTTATGGCCACTGATGTGAGTGTGGCTGAAGTCCACTCATGTTGGTGTAAGTCCATTGTGCATTGTGTATGCCATTTCAATTCATAGCATTGCGTATGCTAGGTTGCGTGTTACAGCTTTGTGTATGCCATGTTACATCGAGCATTGTGTATGCCATTTCATAGCATTGTGTATGCTAGGTTGTATGTTAGTTGCATTGTGTATGCCATCTTATTTGCATTGCATTTGGGATAGGAGTTAGCCCGAGCACGGGAAATGAGGTACGTTTCGTACTCCGAGTGACGGAACGTGTCTCAATTCCCTGTCACCGACACTCCGGATTACCCATGATGGAGTTTAGGTCTTGTTGTGTTTTCATGTGCATTCATCTCATATTGAGTCGTGCAATTCGACTCCTCGGCCATCATGCATCGATATGCGTGATTGGTGGCACGAGGATCGAGGACTAGACTCCCTGAAGAGTAGTCATGCATACATATGTGAAATACTTTGCCATGCCCCTTTGTTGCTCTCTGTTGCAGTAAATCAGAAATTAGTGGTCTTCTAGAGCTTCGCACAACATCCCGGGATTAATTGCAAACAGAGGCAAACCGGGGCATCGCAAGGAATTTCCCGACAAAGGCAACTCAAGCATGCATCTCCCATCATTTGGAATAGAGCTAAGGCAGTCCATAGGCTTGCATGCTGATTTATCGCTTTCCTAGTTAATTTGTTAATTAGTTAGGGTTTTGTAATATTTAATTATTCATTTCGGACTGTATTATTCTTTCGGACCCTCCGAGCGAGGGCACAATTGTAATAAGTGTGCGTGCGTGTGATGTATGTCTTCCAATCCCACGTCTTTCTCCCTTTTATTTACCAGCTTATGATGGTTAGATTAGGGCATGTTTCAATTAGCATACAGTATGATAGCATGTTTGCATCATTCATTTGTCTTACATGCACCGGGCTCGGCGCACCATACTAACTGCATTTGTATTTCAATTCCAAATTGAATACTTATTAGTTGTAGCATTTCATATGCCATCTTTAGAATAGCCGAGCCTATCTTAGTTGCATTTTGCATGTGTTGCATTAGGCATTTGAGCATAGTTAGGACCATGCATGGATTTCTAATTAGCTTCTGTTTTGGCTTGGAGTACCCGGTAAGTGGTTATGCTTTAGCATTCTTGCACGCGTGTGAGTGACTGCCATGATAGCATGCTTTACCATGAGGCTATGTGCTTATATGATATACCTGCCTGAATGCCTGTGGGTGAAGGTTGGGTTATTTGGATTGGAACAATTCATCAAATTATGAGTTTTAAGCGCACTAGATAGTAGCAAATCATCTTGTTTTCTAAGCCCATCTGAGGTTGGCAAATCTGCATTTTTAAGCCTACTTGCGAGTAGTAAACCGTTTTCAAATAAACAACACATGAGATGTTTTGTTCCAATTCAGGCGATCCAGTCTATACTTGTATGCTGTGCGCATCACGTAGTAAATCTAAGCTAATAACCGAAGTAAGAACGCATAATGTTTTCAAAACTAGATATCATGGTTAGTAGAGGCCGATCTTTGATCGGGCGAGCGGGGGTGCTCACGAAGTGACCTTCCCCAATCGTACTCAAGTTCCCGAGCCGAGGCAACTTTGGTGATGATGGACACGTGGCGTTAGGCAACGAGTCAGGGTTTCCTAAATTTCCCAAAATAAAATATTTAGGTGGCAACTCTGTATCTGGCAAAGTAGTCCATGTTTGACACTTTTTTCAAAAAATTTGTTTTTAAAAACGATTTGCCGGATTTGGACTCTTTGATGATTTCATCGGTCTTGCATTGCACTCTGCGAGATTAGATACAAGACCGTGATGTTGAGTCCTGAACTGTAGTAAGCCAAATGAACAAAACGAGATTCCCTCCTGGGACCGGGGGGGGGGGGATTTCCCTCCCGGGACGTTCGGGGACGTCTACAAGGCTATGTTGAAAATAAGCTAGCTTGGGAATTGCAAGCCAGTTTACAGTCCAAATCATGGTTGTGTTCTGGGAATTGCTCAGTTATTTGGACGTCCAGAGGGACAATTGGTCGGACGTTTGGTAGGACCATTTCCAATGTAAATGCATAGTAAATTGCTGAAATCTACCGAAGTCCTCAGTTTAGTGAAAAATTTAGGTTGTTTTCAATTTGATACCATTTTGGTGAAACTATTGGAGCACAAAAAGTACCTCTTTTTCATCACATTTGAATTTGGTGATGTATCTGATAAACCGTTGGAGATGGTCTAAGGAGTCAAGGAGAGGATCCTAATTCATATTATATATATATATATATATCTGTTAGAAGAAAAAAAAAATTGTTTCCATGTTTGAATGTGTATATATATACATATATCTGTTAAACAAATTTAGAAATTAATTTAATTGGATTTTATTTTTTTTTGCGAGAAATCAAATATATGTTTGCATGTGTTTATATATATGTATCTATTCGCATATATGAGATTTGAAAAATCACTTGAACTAGGTATTGCTTTGTTTGAATTTGGGTATTGTCGTTTCTCAACAAGACACTTTAGGTATTATGGGCATTTCAATATTTATCTTTGATGGCATCACTAATTTCTGTTAGTTGTGTGAAGGGTAATAAAAAAAATGAGAAAATCTTGATATTATCAGTTAAAATTGGAGAGGTTTTTGTAATTATTAAAATTACAAGAGAGATCCTCCATATTTATCAACAATCTCAGGGGAGGTAAGTGTAATTTACTATAAATATTTTTATATCATTATTTTTTTATAAATTTGTTTAATGTACCTTTGTAAACTATAAGTTGATAATAAAAAAATAAAAACCAACATCCTAACTTTCAAATAATTGATTTTTCTCAATAAGCAATAAGCAAAAGAAACCACGACATATGTACTTTCAAATTAAGATAAACTATAAACAACTTATTTAATCTACAACAAACACCTCCAATTCTAGGCTATTTTTGGACATTTATTTTTTTATTTCAAAAATAAAATAAAATAAACTGAAAAAATTATAAAAAGTCTCTGTTAACCCTTTGTGAAGTGGAGATGAAATCTACCAGAAACCCAGGCCTGCAGGGCACGTGGTGACCACGGGACTATCGTTCATTTTTGTATGGACACAAAAAAACACCAAAAACACTTCAAAACACAGAAAACAAACTGAAATTTGCTTTCAATTTCTTCTCTCTCTCTCTTCTTCACCACCACATCCATGGCTTCTCTTCTTGCCAACGGTATTTCAAGCTTCTCTCCTCACTCCCACACCGAAACCCCCAAAATCCCAAAACTTTTTTACACAAAGCTCGAATTTTTGAAATCTTCAAACCCTAAAATTCCTAATTTCAAACTCTTCAAGGTCAGAGCAGATGTTGGATACGAACCCAAAACCCTTGATTCCGAGCTTCCTCCAATCCCAGGTACGCTTTCAAACGATGAAGACGCAATTCACAAATTCCTCAAACGCGATTACAAATGGGGGTTCAATGAAGAAATCGACTCCTTCACGATTCCGAAAGGGCTTTCGGAGGAGACTATTCGATTGATTTCATCCCGAAAGAACGAACCCGATTGGATGCTTGAGTTTAGATTGAATTCTTTTGAGAAATTTCTTAGGATGACTGAACCCAAATGGTCAGACAATCGGTACCCTCCGATTGATTTGCAGGACATGTGTTATTATTCGGAACCGAAAAAGAAACCGACTTTGAATAGCCTCGATGAGGCTGATCCTGAGCTTATTAAGTACTTTGATAAATTGGGTGTTCCTTTGAATGAACAAAATCGATTGGCTAATGTTGCTGTTGATGCTGTTCTTGATAGTGTATCGATCGCTACGACTCATAGGAAGACTTTAGAGAAGGCGGGTGTGATTTTTTGTTCGATAACCAAGGCCATTAGGGAATACCCTGATTTAGTCAAGAAGTTCTTAGGTAAGGTTGTTCCACCTGATGATAATTACTATGCAGCTTTAAATTCAACTGTGGTTAATGACGGGTCGTTTTGTTACATACCTAAGGATACCAAATGCCCTATGCAAATCTCGACTAATTTTGGCATAAATGCATTGGAAACCGGGCAATTTGAGAGGACCCTTATAGTTGCTGATGATAGGAGTTTTGTGGAGTATTTGGAGGGGTGCACTGCACTGTCTTATGATAGGAATCAACTTCATGCTGCCGTGGTTGAGTTGTACTGCACTGAGGATGCGGAGATTAAGTACTCCACGGTGCAAAATTGGTATGCTGGGGATGAGCAAGGGAAGGGAGGGATTTATAACTTTGTTACAAAGCGGGGTCTTTGTGCTGGGGCTCGGTCAAAGATATCGTGGACGCAGGTGGAGACTGGGTCTGCGATTACTTGGAAGTACCCAAGTGTTGTTTTGGAGGGCGATGATACGGTGGGGGAGTTCTATTCTGTGGCACTGACCAATAACTATCAGCAGGCTGACACGGGGACAAAAATGATTCACAAGGGAAAGAATACACGAAGCAGAATTATTTCAAAGGGAATTTCAGCTGGAAATTCACAGAACTGTTATAGGGGGCTTGTTCAGGTTCAGTCAAGGGCAGATAATGCTCGGAACTCTTCTCAGTGTGATTCGATGCTTATTGGTGATAATGCAGCTGCCAACACTTACCCATACATCCAGGTAAAATTTTGTGTTCGTCTCACATGCTTGTTTTTTTTTATCTTTTCTTTTCATCAGTATATAAATTACTTTACTTGATACTGTAGCTCATCTGATACGTTGTCAATAACTCTTTGTTTAAATATCTACTCATGTCTAGCTTGGTAACTCCGTCAAAAGTTTTTCCTTTATTTGATTATATTCTAGACCTTCTCTTTTTGGACCAATTTCTATGTAGTTTGAGGTTGCCAAGTTGTTCCTTTCGTGGCATTGACCCATCTTTTCCAGTATTTGGCCTCTTGAAATGAAAACCATGCAATTGGCAGAGTTCACTCATTTACATGCAGCATTCTAGAGAATGTTCAGCAAAAGATAAAGCAGGGGATGATTAAGAATGCTTATATGATAGACAACAGGATTTGTCTCAAGTGTCTTATCGTTCGATTAATTATTGTCCATTTGATTTTCCTTCTAATCTTTGGAAGTTGTGTTGAAAATATGTGAAGTAATGGAGGCATGTGGAGGTCATTTTGATGATATAAGAATAGGATAGTTTTGAATGCAACACCAGAAGCAGTTACAATGTATGTGAAGTATTGGCCAAACTGCAAAATTATGTGTAATCAACATCTTACCCTGGCAGCAAATATTTTAACTTGGGTATACCCATTTTTCCATCTCATTGTCTTAAGGGGTTTTGGCAGTTGAGAAATTTATGTCTGAATTGCTTTGGGCGATTTTGGTATTGTTTTCTATTTTTCTATTCTCCAAAATAAGAAGCAACTGGAACTTATACATAGAACTTGTTTTGAGAACTTTTTTCAAGATTGTTTTTTGGAACACCTGTTTTTGAGGGAAATACTTTCAACTTATTTTCTTCTTTTTTTTTTTTTTTTGAAAACTGTTTTTTCACAAAAATGAAAATGATACAAACGATTGGTGTTTCCGAATAAATGAAAATGCAAATTTTGAGAACACTACCAAACATGGCCTTAGAATCTTAGAGTTGTCCTTTCACCGAACTCTTTCCATAACTCCATCAGGACTCCAATTGTAAATGCTGTTTCAGATATCCATCCTGCTTGTATAGCAGCTGGTGGAGTGAAAACTTTCTTCATGAGTTTCTGCTCCTTAAACATGTGCAATTTCTAAATTCTGGTGACTATATGAGAACCAATCAAAGGAAAAAAAGGATATCACGAGAGAATCTACTGTAACTTGATGGTATATCATAGGTTCATTTTTATATCTTGTACCCATTTTTCTTTTGCCCTTTTGGAGTTGAAGGGAAATCATACCTAGATCTAAGGAAAATCAGGGAAGAAAATAATATTTTGATTACAAGACATAGTTGTGGGATTTAAATGCCCCTTTAGACATTTATGTTTTTTATTTTCCCACTAATTGATGTTGGAAGTTTCATAATTTTTTTACCCACCCTGTTTAGCTAGATAAATATTTAGGCAGGGGAATATTCTACACTAATTGATGTTGGTAGGCTTATCAATATTCTCCATTGTCCATTTTAGGTAGGGGATAAGGATGACAAACATAGTATGAAGGGTATGTTCACCTTTAAATTTGAAGATTCAATAATTAAGCTCCTTTACGGCACTGACATTGCACTGCTTCTTTGTGGGAACCAGATGTCACAAAGTTTGTGGTTTAATGGTTCTAGAAATATTTAGGAGTTTGAATTTGTGAATCTTTTGTGCATAGTCCAGTTACAAGATTAGGGGCTTTACACAGGAAATAAGAGTGAAAGGTGTGACTGTAAAAGAAGGGGAGATCATGGTGGTGTTCATTGTTGATCACTGCAGATAGGTTGCAAATCTTTCTATTTGAACAAGGATGAGACTGAAAGTGAGATGTGGTTCACTTTGACAGAAAGGAGCAGAGGTGTGGAAAGTGTCTAAGTGGTTCTAAGTGGTTCCTTCCATCTTGTCGTGAGATGTTTGAGTTTCTCCAGCTATTTCTGGTGGGTTGTTTTGAAGCTTGAGTTTTGCCGATGTTAGACAAGGAAAAGCTTAAAGAATCGGTCAATCGTTTATGAGGAGTCAAAGAAGGGGTGAGAAAGTGTTAGAGTTGTGTGTGTGGGGTGTTCTTTCTCTTCCTGTTTCCTTCAAAGGAAGAAACATGTACGGTTCTTAATAGGAGATATAGTGGTTCTACAGGGACTAACCAGTCTTGCTTGTTTGCTGGTCCAGTGACTGTTGCTTCTAAAAGCCAAATGCTGGGCCTAAAGAGGGTTGGGTCTAGTTAGTGGATTTCCTATTGTATCTTTGTGACCTTGAAGTGTTGAATGTAGTGGGGGACTTTTGGGGTGGGTGGGGTGATGGAAGTAAGCTTTCACCCTCTGTGCCGATTAGTATGAGTTTGTTGAGGTATGAAGTTCAAATTTTGGTAGAGTCTACAGAAGATATAAGATATTATTGAAATAAATGCCCAACTCCAACAGACCAAACTTAGCAAAAAGGATCAAGGATTACCCGAAAAAATGGGGAGGCACAGAAAATAGTGCACCTTCTGTGGTCTACATTATGCATTCGACAAGAATGACTTTCAGTCCCAAACAGTAGATCCATGAGGTCTAATGAGAAAACCAGGAAATCAATGGACTATTCAAGCATAAGTTCTTCCTCTAGAATAATGCAGCTGAACAATTAAAAGAATATACTTCCAGCCGCTGACTAACCATGGAAGAAAGGGAAAGGGGATATTATCAGTAATTTGAAACACACTGATTTGTCTCAAGTCTTTTGACTTATTTATAGTAGACACATCCTAATCTGACTAGGAAACAATATTCTAGACTAATCTCTTTATTAACATAAAATTTGCAAAATAAGTTAAAAGTCATTTGGATACTAGGAAGTAGTAAAAAAGAATAGGCAATGGTTGGCATATGTTATCACAATGTTATAGATACCTGTAGAATCTAAGGGACTGTTTGGTAATGTGTTTGTTTTAAAAATTCTGAAATTCGGACATGAGAACACATTTGGTAACAGCTTTCATTGCAAAAAATAAATGAATATAGTTTTCAAAAAATAGAAAAAAAATGAAAACAAAATCAAGTGTCTTTTTTTGGGTGAATAAAATCAAGTGTCGTCACTTGCTCTGAAACAAGTTTTCATTCCCTCCCTCTCTTGCAAATTCCCTCCCACCCAGACAACCCCTTCCCCTCCCCTCTTGCTATCTCATTGTTTCTGATTCCTAATAGCTATAGATGCACTTTTTTTTGGGGGAAACATGAAACTGAATGGAAAACAAAATCACTAAAAAGACGATTTTGATTATGATTTAAAGCATCCACGTCGTTGGATTGGTATAGTTGGAGTGGATTTCGTTTGTTCAGTGCACTGTGTTTTACTTGCATTGGCTATACAAATGTGAAGGTTTTTTTATTTGTTGCTTAATGGTTTAATCTCATTTCCTGTTCCTAAATAGGTGAAGAACCCCTCAGCTCGCATCGAACACGAAGCTAGCACCTCCAAAATTGGCGAAGATCAACTATTCTACTTCCAGCAGAGAGGAATCGACTACGAGAGAGCCATGGCAGCCATGATTTCTGGGTTCTGCAGGGATGTGTTCAATGAGCTTCCCGATGAGTTTGGTGCTGAAGTGAACCAGCTCATGAGCTTGAAGCTTGAAGGATCTGTTGGTTAGTTAAGCTGTCTAGTTAATAAAACACGTTGTTGTTGTCGTGGAATATCTTGCAAAATGTGTATTAAAGATTTACATTAAAAGGTATAGCTATATGTATATGGTTTGATAATGTCTACATGTGTTTTCCAATTTTGAATTTCCAAATTGAGTGGTTAGAATTGGCTTATATATTGATTGAAGTAGTTGGTTTAGCAGAAAATTTGTGTGCTGTGTGGATAGTAGGAGTTTTTTTTTTTTCTTATTTGTTCAAAAATGGAATGGAACAACCCATCTACCTAAAATCTTTTTGTGTTGCTAGATCTCACTTTTATTAGTTTTTTTTTTTTGAAATATCATTTATATAAATTACTTAAATGCAAAATTATTTATTTTTGATGATGACAAAACCTCTCAAACATCTTCGAGAACATAATAATCAAACGAACAAGAATTTTTATTTATATTTATTTTTTACATGAATGGAACTGAATTCGAATTCTATTATTATCACCAAATGAGTCCGCCGTTGAAGAAAACCGGATCACCGATGGCGTGACTTAGAAGCAGATGGAAAAATGAATTTTCTATTGCAATGGAAACAGTAGATACATGACCGCTTTTTACTCAGATAACTACACCGTCGGCTGCACTTCAGACACTCCTGACTACAAAATGACGATGGCCACCAAGATGGTGGTGTTGGCTGACTAGAAGAGGCCCTGGTGGCTCCCCATGAAGACGATCTCCGAAGAGGACTACTTTTGCTTGCTTTCTGTGTTGAGTTATTCCATAGATTGTCATTAGTTTTCTCTGTTGAGGCTTGTGAAGATATAACCTTCCAGGCTTGTGACATCAGCTAGAAGGCACTCTCTGCTGCGACCGAGCTATTCTTGTCGGGATGAACCATAACCCATAAGTGCCAGCATTTTGTAATGCTTCTTAGCAGTTTTAGCGTCTGCAAAAACAGAACTGGCGAGGCCAAGAACAGCATACCAATCTATGCTGCCTTTGCCATCGGGTTTCTTGTGAGAGGCGGCATCATGGACTCCGTATGCGGCGATGAAGTTGTCGATGGCGTCGAAGTGAGGATTGAGGTGTTTGGCCATGTTGGCCAATGTGAAAGCCTCTTCAACGTTGTTGTGGATCATGAAATTCTCTTCGGCCATGTTTAACAAGGTTTGGGGTGAATAATAAGATTGCATAGTTGATGATGTCTGTGGAGTATGTTATGGTATATATGATTAATGCTAAATTTCAGGACATGAGCGGACAATCACGCACACAACGAATCTAGAACGGAGAAGTAAAATAATAGAAAAAAGAAACTCACAAAGCAATGGACTACATCCATGGAGTCGCTACGGATTTTACTAAGATCAATATGAAAAGAGTTACATGAGTCTCACACTAATCTCACAACTCTCTCTCTTCAATGACCTATCTCTCACTCTCATTATTGTGTATCTCTCTCTCATATCACAAAACTAATGAATGAATTTAGAACATAGAGCTACATGGGTGTATTTGGGCTAGCCTTAAACCCAATCCTAAAGCAATAAGGAAACCAAAACCTAGGAAGTAAAAACTTTAACCAATAAAGAAATAGTTTAGAATCCAAATCTATTAAAATACTAATTTTTGTGTTTCCTTTTCGTAATTTGATTAGGTTTAGTCTCATTTCATGCTCCACCAAGAGAGGGAGGAAATGGGTGGAGACGGTGTATCTAGGATTTGGAAGAGAGAGGGGAATGTATTGAGACCTCATTTGGGAATATGTTATTTTAGTAATTTTTTAATTTTTTAGTTAAAATATAAGGTAAAAAAATTAGTAGGTTTGTGATGACTTTTTATTGTTTTACGAAAAGATGTACAAAAAGTAACGAATTTTTTTTTTTTGACTTTTTGGTATAAGTTGTTGATTTTTTTTTTTATATTTTTTTAGTAACTTTTTAATTTTTAAACTAAAAAGTGAATTGCCAAAGACACAAGGGCTATATATAAGAAACTTATGAGAGAGAGAGAGAGAGAGAGAGGGGGTGAGAACAATCAATACTTGGGTAACAAAATAAGCAACTTAAGTACAATTTAAATTAGGTTTGGATTCTCTCATCAGTTTTATTAGTTTACATGTTTCTCCAATCTTTATGTATTATTAAAATTAAAATAGAATTATAATTTGTAATTTCGGTATTTCAAGAAATGGATTTGGTTGATCATATTAAATTAATTCAATTTATATGTCACATTAATTAGAAAGGTTCATTGTACCAAGATCACTTAATTATTATCAAATATCATTTTATTAAATTATTTATAAATCTGTTCATATTGACCCTTAATATCAAGATAAGTAATCAGTTTATATTGACCCTTAATATCAAAAAAAAATTTACAAAAGAGTGGAATGTCAGAATAATAAGTACAAAATCATCAAAAAAAAACTTATGATTTTAATTATTAATATTGATAAAGTTTTTCATATAATTATTTTTAAAAATGTAACCTGTTATGTCATTTTCCCTTTATAATAAGACTTGAGTTTGGTCAATATTTGTCTTTTTGCCCAATAGCAGATGGTAAAAACAAAAATAAATAAGGGTCCTGTTAGTCAGCCATAAATGATTGTCAAAAAGAATCATATAATATTAAAATATTTAATATACAATTTATATATTTATATTCCAAAACATTCTTTACAATTTATATTTATATATTTAATATACAATTTACATTTCAAAACATTTTTTTATAAATATTTTTATCCATTCTTTACACATTTTATACATATTTTTCAATATTAATACCAGTTCTAAGACTATTTTAAACATTTTTCAAAATTAATCAAACCTTAGTCTCTAAGTTGTCTCCAATACAAAATAAGATTGTGTGGATAGTTTTATTCCCCCACTTTCCCGCTAACACAATCAGGGGTAAATAGAACAATATATATATATATATATATATTTTAACGAAAATAGATAAAATCATGGGTAGATAGTTTTATTCAATAGAACATTTTTAAAAAATGTAAATTAACTATCACATATTAAAAGTTTTTCCAATCTTCATGAATTAACCAATAATATCTTTTTTTCCTTTTTATTTTTTGTTTATAGGAACCAATAATATCTTTAATTATAGCTTTTGAGATGTAAACTATATTTCTCCTATAAAAAATAATGTCAAATGAGTGATTAGAAAGGGTTACATTTGTAATTTTTTAGATTTCATGCTTAGATTATTTATAAGGAATTTTTTTTTAAGGTTCCCTGATATTAAAATTTTATAAGATAAATGATATACAATATTTTTATAGTAGTTAAGGTCCCTCAACAAGAAAATTTGACTCAGAGAAATTTCACCCCGACTCAGTGAAATTTCAATTGTCACAGAGAAATTTTACCAGAGAAATTTCAAAATTTCCTTGAATCGGGGTCGAAATTTCTCGGAGTCGGACAAAATTTCTCTGAGTCAAATTTTCTCTGTAAAAATGTTGGAGGATCTTAGCTAATAAAAAAAAATCTTGAACCTCTCATACTACACAAAGTTGGAGGGGGATGTTTTGCTAAGGGTTTATACAAAAAAAGGTTGCTTTTAAAATCATATTTTATAGTACATAATTTTGTGTAGTGAGATGTTTATAATCATGTGGTTAAACAAATGCAATTAACATTTGTTTTCATTTGTTTGTAAACATCCCACATGAAAACAAATCATGTGGTTAAACAAATGAAATTACAAACAATTGTTTAACAAATCATGTGATTTGTTTTCATGTGGGATGTTTACAAACAAAAGAAATTACAAACAATTGTTTAACAAACAAATGAAAACATCTCACATGATTAAACAAATGAAAACAAATGCAATTACAAAGTTGGAGAGGGATGTTTTCTCTTATTTATACAAAAAAAATAAATTGATCTCTAATAATTATAATAACATGATTTAATAACATTTGTTTTCAAAACAGGTTGCTTTTAAAATCATATTTTATAGTTCATAATTTTTTGAAAATAAATTTGTTGAAATCAAATAGTTATAGTTATCGAATATAAGTCAGTGAATATTTTGAATGTTTTTTTTTAGATTAGTGAAATTCAAGTCAGTGAATTTTGTTGATCTCTTTTGAATATTTGTTTATCTCTTTTGAATATTTTTTTTAGAATGGTGTAATTTAAGTCAGTGTGTGACGATCGGGTCTTCGTTTCCTCTCTCTTTTCCTCCTTCTTCACTCCGTTCTTTTGCTCTCGTTGAGTTTGAAAATGTCGGAAAATTTGTTTCAAATAAAGTTCTTATTCTTGTCTTTGTTTGGTGATTGAATTTCACTCGTTTCGGAGAGGGCGCGGTCGAGTCCAGGGTGCCCGGGGGCCGAACCAGAGAATTTTGGTCTGCTGGGCCAGGGCCGCACGTGCGTGGTAAGGTGCGGGGAAGTGCCGCACGTGCGGGAGTGATGGTCACACGTGCGAGAGGTACTTGTCGCACATGCGGGAATGGACTCCGCACATGCAGGAGAACCCAGATCTGAGGCTCTGTTTTTTTTATATCCTTTGGGGCTGTTTGTGTGTCATTTTTATTACATTTCTCTCTCTCTAAAACATATCTCTCTCCCATCTCTCTATACTTCTACCCCAAAAACAATATCTAAAATCTTGATCCTTCATCATCCATTAAAAATTGGTCTATGGTTCCTTCATCAATATTGTAGAACACCTCTAGAACTACGTTGTGTATGGTGAAGATTGGATTTCTACATCACTTGATCTTAGGGTTTCATCTCCATTTCTTCATCAAGCTTGAGGTAGGGACATTCTTGAGTTATATATACAGGTTCTGCTATTTGATGATGGTTCTAAGAGTTTTCTTCTATTTTCTTGTTGATTTCAACTTTGTGATTCAAAAAAATGTAGAGAGTTTTAAAAAGTGGGTTTGTATCTCTATCCTTTTATTAATCCTTGAGAGTTTCATTCTATTAAACTTAAGAACAATGGTTTTGAAGGGATTTCACCAAAGAAAATGGGAAATGTTTGGTTTTGATGCAAAACCCTAGAAGTTGGGGATTTTTGGAAAAATATGGAAATGTTCATGGACTTTCTTTCCTTCTTGCATTTGATAAATGATGGAGTGGGGATTTTGTCATGTACCTTGTTAAGTAGCAATCATCTTAGTATATGAGCAAAAGAGAAATTATTTTAACTTTTGTTTACTAAAGTGCATG